TTGATATGAGCTCTAATTTCTCTGGGGGTTTGCTCACTAGTATTTTTGATCTTTAGGAACCCTCTAGCATACCAGATGGCACTGCATATGCCCCTATATGTAGTTCTATTGAAGTTGAGATTTGAAAGATACTGGCTATAAGCCACTTTCTAAGCATTGTGTGAATAGTATCACGGGTAGCAGTATTAGTAAGTGTGATCTCATGATCCTGTTTATATGCTGCAAGGGCTCTGTTAAAAATCTCATTATATTCTTTTTGATGTACAGGGGTGGTCTTGGGGTTGCGAGTATAGATGCTGGTGAAATATGGTGAAATGTGGTGAAATAATTTCACCACTATTGGTGTAATTGGTGGTGAATTGGTGAAATTGGTGAAATTAATTTCACCAGCATCTATAGTTGTGAGTGAAGGTAGTAAAGAATCTGGTGTCCTGGTGGGTAAACTTAAAAGCGATTGCTTTAGGAAGCTTGTATTATGTTGGAGTAGTAACAAGCTTGTGGCTAGTAAATTCATAAATGCCTTTGGGGGTTTTGAGTGCTTTGGTAATTTTTCTACAGTCTAACAATTAGTGTCAATAGGTGTAATGGTCTTAAGGTATACTTCATCAGACTATGCTATTTCATCTTCTGGAGCCTCTGTTTTGAGCAGATTAAGATTTGTTTGTGTAACTTGACTATATGTAGGTCTTGTAGTAGTTGTCAATATGCTAGCTTGTATATCTGTAGATGTAGCAGTATTGTTAGGTAGAGCTTTGGTGGCTTTGTGTGGAGTTACTGCAAGTGGAGATATGTTATAAAGAACTCTAGGTCTTTTGCAATTAACTTTAAAATTTGAAGCTGCTGGGGTATAACTAGAGCTTGGTGCTAAGAGTATAGGCTGGGTAATTTGATTGGTAGGTGTATTGGGCCTGGGTACTGTATTAGTGTCAGGAGGCTTATTTGTAGTTAGTACAGAGTTTGTAGTATTACTACTTGTACTGGTGTCTGTGTAATCTGTATTTGTGTTTTGAAGAGAGCTGGGATTGGTGTTGGTAGCTGTGTGTACAACTTGCTTATTGTAGCTTTTGTTGGACTCATTATCTGAATCAAGATTTGTAATTGCATTGTATGGGATTGAGGCTAAATTTTTTGCACTTTTGGCCTTTAGATAAGGTTTCATGCTGGCTTCATATAGGTTTGTGATCATTACAAGATCATTATTTCGGGTAGATTTAGGATATTTGGCACTGATGTTAACAATATCGCTTTTTTGAGATGTAATGTCAAACAAAACTGATTGGGCAAGATTTTCGTGTCTGCATAACCACTGTGAGGGGTAGTTGGTTAGGTTGGAGATCTTTCCAAATTTGGTAATATCGACGTAAAAGATGAAGTTGTCAGCATATTAGGAGCTTAACCATAAAGTTCGAAAATTCTTCTCTTTCAACCAAGCTACTTCATCTACACCTCTAGCTGAT